CAGATGCTTGAATTGACTGAAGGAGTCAACAGCCGGGACTTCAGCTTTTACTGCCTTTACTTTCACTGAAAAATTGAGGGCATATCTTAACCAAAAAAAAAAAATTATGTATGATCTAATTGGCTCCAGTATTTTTTAACACTGCATGAGAGACAAAAATAGGGAATTTCTGTCATTCGACAGTCCCAAATGAAACAATGCAAAGATTGCTCTTTTCGAACTTTATGCCATGGTTTCCAGCTCTATTGAGAGTCACATTTTCAAGTTTTCCAAACGGAAATCTCCAAAGAGGCGAAAATTAGAAAGAGGAAAGACAGCAACTATTTTCAATCCAGCTTTTTCCACATAGTGGTAAACTAAGAATCACAAAAAAGCAATAAGTCTAAACCAGGAACAGACTTTCTGTAAGCATTGTTGAAGGTTTGCTGAACACTGATGGCTTTAGATCAATACACGGAAGCTCTTTACGACTATATGGAGTTTAGGACCATCCATACCATGCAGAAGAACTTTACCCATCAAGAACTGTCCTTTCATTGCATTATTTATTTATTACTACTAGAAAAATCGTCAAAAAATGACATATCAATCTGCTCAACTACTTGGAAAAAATAAAGGAAATAGGGATTAAAAAAGAAAACGGCATTTAAAAGCTCCAAACACGGTCAACTATCATATCTTAACAAGGACATCCAAATATCAGCATGCATGATGCAGCCACATATGGGTAAAAAGGGTAACGATTCAATTTGAAGCTCATAAGAAAAATGCATCTAAATTCTTGCTAACGATTCCCAAATTTAACACACGAAGACTATTTCCTTTTGGCAATCAGAAAGTAAGAACCATTGTGGGCAGGGGATAATCAGGTTTCTCATAAAATTAGAATACCGGATGGAGATTGAGCAAGCTAGCAATTTAGCTTGGGGCCTCTCACTTAATATGCAAATAATCAATCGAACAATTAGATAAACAAATAGGAGGAATTGGGTCCTGCCCTCATACAGTAAACAAAATAAAGTAACCATTCAAATTAGCAGTCACGGAATTGAAAATAACACAAATCAAGAGTGTCCCAAGTAGTCAAAGCTAATTCCAAACAAAAAAAAATTAAACAAAAAAGAGGGGACGGGTGGTTCACCTTTATGTCCAAATTTGCGAAATTTGGAGAAAAAAGAGAGCTTGGTAACTTTATGATTGGGGTGGAAAGAAGAGAAGGGAAGGGAAAGAAGAGAATTGGAAATGGAGGGCAATGGAGGAGGAGTTAGAATTGACTTTCTCAAGTTGGGATGCGAAGCTTCAACTGGAGCTGCTGCCATCAAGTAGTGAGCAAAAGCCATCGAATAAAATAAATGGACTACTCACGCTTGATTCTTGACTCAAATCAATATTCAATACTCCTTGTTTCTCTTTCTCTTTTCTCTACTGACAAGTGTTCCGTAGTTATAAGGTATGCTGCTGCTGTGGGAGGAGAATTGGTTTGATGAGGAGGCTGGATGGGTTCCAGAAACAGCCAGAGATGGTGGATGACGCAGCTAAACAGCCAAAACTAGTAGTATAGTATAATAAGCATAAAGGAAGTAACTAGACGTGGCTGCTTAGACGTGGCTGCTTAGTGCATTTGGGGAGCCGTAAGCGGCGGAATAGGACGAGCTTCCTATTATCAGCGTCATCATTACCGAGACGAATCTGACGGACGATGCCCCACAACAACGGATTTGGGGCAGGGACGGCCATCAGTATGACCGTTCCTGCACGGTTAAGGGCTAAGATTTGTTCTTAAAATTTTGTGCGGCTGAAATTACATCATATAACTCGATTTTCGCGTTAAATATGGGGCCCATCACTATCTGTTCTGAAAATATATCCTGTAAAAAAAAAAATTACACGGTGTACAAAAAAAGTTATGCGCAGTTGATAATGACCAAAATTGCCCGGAAACCGTCCGTGCCCCGAGTCCACAACATAATGCTTTGTTTGGTGTCCTTTTCCTTCTAAGGGTCCAACGCTGGTTTGCCGCACAGGCGTCAAATCAACTCATTTACGCACTATTCAAGGACCTATCTGTCTTGCACGTGAGTTTTTTGTCGAGTTTATCTGATACAAGTTTTTTTAAAAATTTTAAACACAGTAATTTTACAAAAAAATTTAAAATTATATATTTTAAAATATTTAAAAAATTACAAACTTTAAAAATTTTTATAATAAATTATAATAAAATTTTAGATAAATATCTAAAAATTTCACTTGTCAAATGGGGTCAATGTAAGTTTAAGCCCAAAGGAATAGTTCATACTTCAGAAAACTTGGACTATTAACTATTGAGTAGGCCCAAAATCATGACAGGTGATATTTCCATTACATTTGAAATCTTATCATCCTTGCATTGACAATGTAGAAAGTGTGAATCTATGCTACTATGGTTAATACATTTTTGCCGCGCAATTGTCTATAAATGTAGTGTTACTAATTCCAAACTAGTATACAATTTTGTAAGAATGATAAGAATGATAGGGGTGTAAATTTGAAATTGACTTGTTTACTTTTTCGAGTTGAGTTTTAATAAGTTTTATGAAATTGAATTCTAGTTGAACTCAAGTAATTTTAACTTTTTACATGTAAATTTCACTTATATATTAATCAAACCGAATTTGAAAGTTTATCAAATTTAAATTATTGTTCAAGTTTGATTTGATTAGCTGATGAATCAAATTCGAATAAATTTTTACTGAACCAAGATGGGTACGAGTATCAAGTATTCTGATTGTCTTTCAATTTGGAGGGAAGAGCTTGGGATATAAATTAAGAATACTTGGTTTTTCATGCCTTCTTTTATCCAAGTATTTTTGTATTGGCAAATGATATTGCCAAAGCCAACGTTTTAAATCCATAACAAGCTATTTTAAAATGACAAAACCACCTCTTTTAATTCCAAATTGCAATCGGAGTATGAAGTGGCATTAACCGCAGTCTCTCACTTAAATTTAGTATGGATGGAGAAATGTCCATAGAGATTAGAAGGAAATGATAAAAATTTTATCTTTCTTAGGAGCTTATGGAAATAAAAGGTACAAAAAAGTAGGAATGATGTTTGAACGAAATGGAATGATGAAATAGTTTTTTCATTAACCTTTGAAAAAAAAAAAAGGAGAATAGTTAGAAAGTTAACTAAGACATCACAAATTTTCCGCCTATTATTCCCCTCATTTCTGAAAGTTTGAAACTATTTCATCTTTCGATTTGTTTCCAAAATAATCTCAAATCGAGTAAGAGCAATTCATCCAATGCTCCTCTCTTTAGTTAACATGCAGTATAACTCAAGTTTATTGTTCATTCCATATCTCCCTTCTTTTCTATTTTCTCTCTTCCAAACAAAGCCTCAAAGTGAGGGTATTTAGGTAACTTTGCTCCACGACGTCGTTCCCTGCAAAAATCAACCGGCGAAATTCTTAAGCTCACGCGACGTCATGCAATTCGTCCAGGAGTGGGCGCAGACGGCGGAGCTGTCAACTAACCAAGACGACGACGACGCCGGCGTCGACAAGTCATCTCCCCAAGAAGAAATGATCACAACTTCAACGCACCATTTCGGCGACGGAGATGATGCCTTCTCAGTCACTATCATTGAGGCATGTCCCTTTATCCAACTTCTCTTCTACTTCTGAATTAACTCCAAAAGAAAAAAAAAGTTGAAGATTTTTGTATTGTTTTTATATTTGCTCAATTTAGAGTATGAAAGAAGAGTACGGGTTATTCGTGTGGCCATGTAGTATTATTTTAGCTGAATACGTTTGGCAACAAAGATCCCGCTTTTCCGGGGCTAATGTAATCGAGGTAATTATCTAAACACAAGCTCCAAGATTCTCCTATAAATCCTATTCAATCATGGGTTATGGTTCTTGATCTTAACTAGTGCTAGTTATATTTGACAGCTTGGTGCAGGGACGTCTTTGCCCGGAATAGTTGCTGCTAAAGTTGGCGCTGACGTCACACTCACAGATGATTCGAATAGACCTGAAGTACGCTGTTTTACACATTTATTTTTTTAGAAGTTTGGCTTATAGTTTAGAGTCATTTCTGTGTGTTGTAGTTTTGTTACATCCCTAGTTGCTGCAGTTTTGTTCTTGACATGTGCAGGTGCTGGCTAATATGAGGAGAGAATGTGAGCTGAATAGTGTGACATGCAAAGTATGGAATGGTTCTTTATTTGATAGTAGTAGATTTTAGCTTGCTAGCTTATATGATGCATCTTCAGTTCTTCGCAGATAAATGATGCACTGCATACTTAGTTTCTAAATTCTAGACCATAATCTGAAGCAACGTTTGACTAGAGCCCAATAAACTTATTATTGGTCATATTTATATGTATTGCAAGGTGCTGGGACTTACATGGGGTGTTTGGGATGAACCGATATTCACCCTGTGCCCAAATATTATCCTTGGAGCTGATGTCCTATATGAAACAAGTGGTAGGCTTGTCCCTATTTTTCTCTTCCCAATTTGGTGACTTTTTTGGTTTTGTTTCACATATCAATTAACTGGAAAGATATTTTTACCACGCATGCACTTTGAAGCATTTGATGATCTTTTTGCTACTGTGGCATTTCTGCTCCAGAATTCTCCCTCTTCAGTTTTTATAACAGCTTACCACAACAGAAGGTGATTATGGATTTTCAATTCCTGATCTTTTCTTGGCTCAGGGACATTTGGTACTGCACTTGGGTGTATCACAGGTTTATGTTAATTTTTATTTCTCTTTTACTGTAAACAGTGGGCATCACCTGATTGAGTTCTTGATGGTTAAATGGGGATTGAAGTGCATGAAGCTTCTAGATGGGTTTTCATTCATGCCAGCTGACAAGGCATCTGGATTAAGTGGGAATATACAGTTGGTAGAGATAATTTTGGATAATGACAAACTAAGTTAGCAAATGGTCATGATACTTATTGAGAAAAATGGTAAGATGCAATATATTTTTTTTCTTTGTCCTCTCTCTCTCTTTTTTGCCTTCTTGAATGACTGTTAAAATACATGGGGTGTTGGGGATGACATTAACATGTTACACTATCTGTTCCCCCTTTGGTTTTATTTATTGTATCACTTCTGGAATTAAACTAAGCTTGATGCTGAATTGAACTGTGGACCATAAGCAATTGTTTTGGTTTTTGTATTTTTTTTATGTCCTGTAACAAGACCACTGCAATCCTGTATGCACCAATAACTTGTTTGTAGCATGAAAATGATATGAGCTTATTATCTTCTGTTCAGAAGTGTGCAAAAAGGGGATTAAGTGCATTTGTACTGAGATCTGATCAATCAATTTGGATGTCCATTTATGAGCTACCCGTGGGCAAATAATTATGTGTCAAGACCTCCAATTCTGCTTTCACGTAAAATCAGTGGTTAAAGTTTCATGAAGGCTTTCCATTTATCTCTTTCCCCCCCTAACATCAAGTTTTGTATTGAGCCCCAAAAATTCTGCATAACAGGGTATCCAAACAGGACTGCTATTTGCAGGAGAGGAAATAGACTGCTTTGACATTTAAATCTGTAAATAATATATGCATTGTTCTGTGGAGTATTGAATTTCGGGGTTCATATAATCTGAAAAATCAACAAGCTTGATAGCTCTGGTTTTCTTCCGATCACTTTAGATGATCGAAGTGCTTAGTTGAGAAAGATAGTTTAGTTTACCACCCTGCAGTCCTTTCTAATTTCCTGACCACCTGTGATGCTGCTCATCTTGATCATGGAACTTGAAAAGGCCTCATAGAAAGTTTCTTTTGAGGTCGCAAACTTTGAAACGAAGTCTTTTGTCTTCGGAGAAGTGAGTAAAGCCTGATCTGAAGAGAACAGGCTCTTCCCTTGGAGAATCAACTTGTAGTATGTGTTGTCAAAAGTAGTTGACGACGGATCCATTGAGGTGCCTGCATTTTTTGCCCCACTCTTGTTTGGACAAATGCTTCTCAAACTTGCTGCAAAGGATGGGTGTAGCGTAGGATCAATGTCATGGGTGGCGTTGAAATTGTGGATTCTGTTCTGGAATGATGAGCAATGGGAAAAACCTATCGTGTGGCCACCTGCAAAGTGTGGAAAGAATAATTTTTTTAGTTTGTGAAGGTGGAAAGAAATGATGTGCAAGACAGTTTGGAACCTGGTTCTATAACCTGAGAGAGCAACAAGGTCTTCCATGGACAGACCTCTCTGAGAGAAGCTTTGTTGGAGTTGTGATATATTGAAGAGTGGAGCTGGCATTTGTGTGGTTTCGCTAGCCTTAGATATCCTCCCATCTTTTCTTCCTTTGGGTACATCCCAGTACGGCCCACCAGACTGTTGTATTAAACACAGTTTAACAACTGATATTTTTGACTGAAGTTGACCGTCAACTGTGTTACATCAAATGTGTATTGGACGACATCAGTTCTGAATCCTAAACCACTATCCTGCTCTTTCTAAGGCCAATCAGCACTTCAAAACTCTCTTATACTTTACCTTCATATGATTCTGGCCTCTATTTGGTGTTACATATTTTTGTTTCGCTTTCAGTGGGTCAAGATAGATTGATCACGTCTTATTAAAGGTGCAATATTTCGTTGTGGTATCGGCAGAAGATGCATTCTCTGTGTACAGTTTCCTGTTCTTGTTTGTTCGTATTTATTCTATACAATATTTATGGTTTACTTACCAGAACAACTGCATCTCTTGCAGCTGAAGCCAAGATATCAGCACAAGACACTACACCAGGGCAAAGAGCTTCCACTGCCTTCTTTGCGTTGTCAATGACATAGAACGCATGCAAAGATCTATTAGGGGGTCCATCCTTCTCAGCGTTGTTCTTCCCTTTGGAGTTCAACAGCACAGAAGCATCACAACCCTTGCGAACAAGCAAGTCATACACAAATAAATATGAAAGTGTTAACCAGCGACAAAGAGTCGAGTTATGTGAGACGATTCAAGCCAAATGTTAGCTAGGTCATACATACCCTGATAAAACAATCATGAAAATGCATCCTCAGTAGTGCTGCAGGCACCGTGTTGTCTTTCTTTGCAGCATCCTTTACAACCTGTGTTATAATGCTTTCGGCATTGGGGCATCTCTTTGCATAGTAATTCAAACTGAGCGCATGCCCATGAGAGCAGACCAAACAGACGAAGAGCGAGATGGACAATGAAACTAGGCAAGCCATAGCACTATACAGATGAGGAGCTCTAGCAGGTATCTGACGCTTTTGTCACTTGTGTTGATATATATATATATATATATATAGGGAGGAAAAAGAAAGACAGCATGATTTGGAAATTGAATGGTTGGCTACTACATTGAATTCGGTAGCATAACTGTTGGCGTTTGATGATTAAGAGTGTGCTCTAAGCATCCTCAGCGCAAGTTTTGGTCTTGTTTTGTCTGTCCACCTTTTAGCCCCTCGCTAGCACCGGTAAAACTTGTTTATTGGAAACTCGTTAAAGCGTCACCTTTGGTTCTCTTTACTACGCATTCGTACGAATACTTCGATCTTTACTACGCATTCGTTTCTCTCGTTACTTGGGTTATTTTCCCTGACCAACGATGGCTTCACGATGCACGGTGACGGGAAGGATAAATCTCCGACAGGGAAGTTACATCAATGACTAGAAAGCAAAGCAATGGTTAAAATGGACAACTAGAAAAAGCACACTTATTCTCTGGAAAAGTTCCTTCGGATTCTACTGCGCCAAGTCAAAAAGCAAAACAGGAAAAGATGATGGAACTTTTTACGTCTAGCCACTCTTGCTGGAGGTGCATTAGCAGGCTCCATCAATTTGTTACTTGATTCATCATGGATTATCATTACTCTCAAGTTTTAGCTTTTGTTGGTTATATGAATGGAATAAGAGATATGAAGAGTTGGACTTGGGGGAAGGGCTGCATGAGGTTCGAAGGCTGGATTTGGGATGGGATGTGATGTGATGTACTTTGGATTCAACTAATTGAGGTTGAGATGCCAATTTACCAATTTATTAAGTATATGACAAGTTTAATCAAATTAGTTACGTGCTTGTCTACTCATAAGTTTTTGATAATCATGTGAATGATTTTTCCATTACCTAAACAGCACCACCATTGTCGGATCAAGGGTTCTTGTTTAGTTACATCTTGAAGGTACCTTCACTTTTATCGACTAGAAATGGTCCCAGTAATTAATTTTTATTTTTATGCGATTGGTCAGTGGAAGAAAATCTTGCTCAGTGAAAGATGCAAAAGTTCATACTCCCTATTCAAGTAAAATGCTCCTTCTTTTTTCCCAGTAAAAAAAAAAAAGATAAAGTTAATTGCTTCTTTCACTACGTGTACCTGTGCTGCATATCAACAAGATTTAATAGTTGATCCATTCTCAGCCTTGGTAAAGTCCATCTTGTTGCAATAGGAATGAACAAGAACAAATAAGTTTTAGCTAATGTAATAAAGATACCAATTACTGGGCCAAAAACTTTACCCGCTTTATTTATGTCAAATATCTCAGAAACGAATATGTACGGAATAGAAAGATTCCAGCCTCCCAAATAAAGAACTGTTACAAATAATGAAGAAACCAGTAGATTTAGATACGAAGCAACGTAAAATAAACCAAATTTGATACCTGAATATTCAGTTTGGTAACCCGCTACTAATTCTTCTTCGGCTTCTGGTAAATCAAAAGGCAATCTCTCACACTCGGCTAAAGAAGAAATTACCTTTATAATCTATATAAAATGGTACAGATCATGAATGTTTGGAATCCATATTATGCAAGGAGACATTTTTTTCCACCAAGAACGTTTTATAAAACTCTTTGACCCCCGAATTTGGAGTATCCTACTTTCACGCAATTCACAGGGTTCAATAAGCAATCGATATTTCACGATCACAGGGTTCCTAGCTGCTTGGCCTGTAGTAGGTATCTGGTTCACATCTTTAGGTATTAGCACTATGGCTTTCAACCTAAACGGGTTTAATTTCAACCAATCTGTAGTTGATAGTCAAGGTCGTGTAATTAATACTTGGGCGGATATCATTAACCGCGCTAACCTTGGTATACTGCTGCTGCTGCAGCAGCAGCTGCTGCTGCTGCGTTGTCGTGAGATTTTGGTCCCTAAACATATTTGGTTTGAATTTGAATTTGATTTTGAGCGTGTTACGTGACTTGTAACTAAAAGGTGTTAATAAATACACTGTCAGTACAGTAGTGTAAACAAAATTAACTTACTTATCAAAGTACAAAATTCAAGACATTTCACGTAGATTGTTCATGTTAGTTTTAATTAATTAAATTAATGGATCAAGAAAAATGTTGTTAGCTACTTTTTTCTTTTTAAGTTAAATTAAATTGACGTAAAATCCAGGATTACATAACATTGACGAAATCATTTTATACCTCACTAAATAAACAATTTAATATGCCAGGAGACTTCAAAATGAACACACAACACTTTGGGTGTTTTTGGGCCTTTGTTTAGGCTGCTAGTACTTATAGTTAGCGGTTTCCTTTTCCGCAGTCTATTTCTTTGGGCTCAAGAGCCCAACGATTAGGGTCCTATTTTCACTAACCTGAAATCGGGTTCCAAACCGCATCCGCCCCAAGTCCAGATTCGCCGCCTTTGCCTCTAGTTCTCCTGCTAGAATCCTGGGATGTAGGGTTTTGTTAGCTGGATGGAGCAGAGCTAAATATTAAAAACAAGACCGCCGATTGACATAGACCTCCGACTAATTCGGCTGGGTTTTGCTGAAATTTCTCCGGCGACGGAAAAAGAGCGCATTTCCATGTGGTCCAAAAGCAAGAACAAGAAGAATATGACTAAGCCTGACGGTGACGCCACCGCCAACCACCGTAACGATGGAAAAATCATCACCGATGCTCGTTTCGCATCCTTACACACGGACCCTAGGTTTAGGGAGCCACCGAAGCATAAAGCCAAGGTTGCGATTGATTCTCGCTTTAACCGCATGTTTACTGACAAGGATTTCGCTACCTCAAAAGCTCGCACTGATAAGAGGGGCAAACAGAAGAAGAATGACTCCGCTGCTAACTCTTTGAGGCATTATTATCGCCTCGAAGAGGAGGAAGAAGGAGCGAAAGAGAGGAGTTTGGGAAAGGAATTGGTGAAGAATGAGGAGAGCGGAGAAAGTGAGAGTGAGGGTGTTGAAAGTGATGAAGAAAGTGAGAGTGAGAACGTGGAGAAAGGGAGCTTGAAGCTGGACAATGAGTCCGAAACATCGGATTCTGAGGAGGAAGAAGAAGAAGAGGAAGCTGAGAGTGATGACTCGACGAGTACTACTTCGGATTCAGATGGGGCGCACGAAGAGGAAGAAGATACTTTTGGGCTGGTAAAAATGAATAATGCAGGTTGAATTTATATAATTTGGGGAACTTTGTTCGAAAATTTTAAATGTTTAACCTTTTATTTGTGCGGAGCAGGAGGAGACTGTTCCGGAAATTGATAAGGAGACGCATAGGCTTGCGGTTGTCAACATGGATTGGAGTCAAGTCAAGGTGAGTAGTATTGAAGATTCTAAGGTTTGTATAAATATAGGGGAAGAGATTGTGTAAAGAATATCTTGATGGTTTGTTATCTTTTTCTTGATCGATACATGTCGTCTGGGAGACTGCATTTTCTATGACTTTTAAGGTATTTTAATTGGTGTCTTAGACTCTATAGAACCCCAACAAAGAGAGGAAAATGAGCTCATGTTGTATCCTGCATGTAATTGGTGTTGTGTTTTTCGTGGACTTGAGCTTAGAATGTTGATTTTTGCACTGAAACTAGATTGTTTCCTGTAGGCAGTTGATTTGTATGTCTTGCTAAGTTCGTTTCTTCCTGGAGGTGGTCAAATTATGTCAGTGGCAGTCTACCCATCTGAGTTTGGGCTCAAACGAATGGAAGAGGAGGCGATTCATGGTCCAGTTGGGCTATTTGAAGATGGCAAAAAGAATAATCAAAATGATGAAGATGATGATGAAATTGACAATGAGAAATTGCGTACTTATGAATTAAGTAGGCTAAGGTGGCATGTCTGCTCTCGTATATGTGCATATACATACCTTTTATTGTGTCTGTTTTTCCACCGCTTGAGTTTAATTTCAAAATCTGTTATCTTTACTTTGTAGTTGTGTAGCTTTGGTTTTCAGAATAAAACCTATGGCATGTGTTGTTTCTTGTTATCTATTTTCCAAATTTCATCCTGATTCATTTGTAATAGCTTTGCCATGCTTCCTGAATGTTTATATGATAAAACAATCTCTTTCCTGCCTGGTGGTTAAAAGAGTGAATGCTCTCTCTCTCTCGCTCTCTCTCTGCGCGCGTGTCCACATGCATCTATCTCTATTCGTGTATGCCTTTATGCCTGTGGGTGTGTGCAAATTCACACATGGAGTATAAGTTTCTCTGGTGTTTCCACTTATATTTCAGGTACTACTATGCTGTGGTGGAATGCGATTCAATTGCTACTGCAGATTACCTCTATAGGACTTGTGATGGAGTAGAGTTTGAGAGATCATCCACTAAGCTTGATTTGAGGTTTGTACCAGATACAATGGAATTTAAGCATCAACCACGTGATGTTGCAAAGCATGTAAGTCTTTGTCCTTATTCTTAATGCATAGCTTATACTTGTTCTGCAGCGAAGTGCTCGGCCAATAAGATAGCTCTTCAAAGAGGTTTCTTGCCCCAGGTCAATTAAACACTGTTATTTAGTTTATTAGATTGAATAATTTGAGATTGCTTTTCCTTTCATTAGGCACCAGCAGACTATGAAGGATTGGACTTTCAAACTCGAGCACTTCAGCAAAGTAAGATTCATCTGACATGGGATGATGATGAGCCACAGCGTGCAAAAACCTTGAAGCGAAAATTTAACGCTGATCAGGTACTTTGATTTTCATTTCAACTCAATGACGATCAGGTGTTTATTTTTGCTACTGGTTTGGGAAGCAACATGTGATTATATACTGTTGGTGCATCTTTGTGCTTCTTGCTGCAAAACATGCATAGTCAGAGCATGATCCAACATCTTTAAAGTCATAGTGCTTTGATTAATGGAAGTATTATTTCTATATAACCGGGTAAGTTTTATACAACTGGCATTGATGCGGTTCTCCTCTTTCAGCTTGCTGAGTTAGAGTTCCAGGAGTTTTTGGCTTCTGATGAGAGTGATAGTGATGAGAGTGAGAACAATGATGGCATGCAAAATG